GGAAACCTTCGAACCCGGATATAAGCTGCTGAAATGGACTTTCTTAGACGAGTCGCTGGCTTTACGCATCTCGAAATGGCCCGGAATACTTACATCCGGGAGAGCCTTTGTGTGCAGGTTCTACTTCTTTAGATTGAGAAGTCACAGCTGCGATGGTCTGGGCATGTGTTGTGAATGCCTCCAGATAGGAAGGCTAAAAACCTCTTCTTGGCGCACTCTATTGTTGATGCTAAACCATGCTAACAGAGACACTTTTGCTCTGATGGCGTCTTTAGTATCTTCGTACAATCCTTTCAGCAGAGCTGGCATACTCCGTGGTGTCGCAGTATGCGCCACAAGCACTGACGGCGTACAGAGTCGAGTTGCTCGAAAGTCGAGGAACGCGGCATGCCAGGGTAGCTGGAAGCTCTTTCCAAGTTGTATTATCGTGTTTGGTACGGTGATGTTGTTCGTAGACGAGAGTCCAATTCGAAACACTAATTTGATCGAAGGGAATCGTCAGCCGCGTTCTTCAGTCTTCACAGGATTCGCGCGAATACCTTTTCCAGCACAGGCAGAATCGTGATCCCCCGGTAGTTGGCGCAATCAGAACGATTCGCACGTTTGAGTATAGAAATGATCACGTCCTGCTTCCAGTTTTCATGGATTTTCGACTTCCGCCAAATGCTGTCAAAAACCAGATGGATCCAATTCAGTAGGGTTTCACCTGAGCACTTCAGAAGTTCTACAATATTCTTATTGCGCCCGTAGAATTTTGAACATTAACAGAGTCACATGGCATCTCGGATTTCATCTTTTAATGGAACAGAGCAGTCAATTTTCAGTTCTTCCCTGTCTTCGAACTCTGCTTCCGGGTCATTCACTAAAGCGGGTCGGTTTAGGAGCTTTTCGAAATGCTCAGTCCATCTCCTCCATAGGCTCTCTGAATCTGGAAGTGGTTCGATGGTCTTGCTGCTAATCAAACAAATTAGAGGCTTATATTTTCACATCTGTGATGATACTGACTTGTCTGTACAGCTTTTCCATTCCTTCTTTGAAGGTGTCTGTCACATATTCTGCGCTTCGAGTTTCATCCTGTGTCACTTGTCACACCTGTAACTCCTCTTGACTGCTTTCTCGAGATTCTGTTACTCTCGCTAATTTAGGATGCTGTAAGAACTCTTGCTTTGCCGCGTTTCCCCTTTGGCGAAGAGTCAGGGTTTCTGAGTTCTAATACAGATTAATAGGTAGTTAATGAGGTAAATACATGGACGTATACATAGTCAGACTGATACATAAATTGATACGCAAAAGAATGAAATATAAATAAATGACTGGATAGACTGGCTGATTAGCTGACAGATAGAGTCTAACATCTAGATAAACAGATAGGTATATAGATATAGGTAGGCGAACGGACGGACAGATGGATGGATAGATGTCAAAACTGTTGCTTCTCATGGTTATTCACGATGCTAAGCTGAAGTGTATAGTGGCAGCATTTCATTGATCAAATCAGTCTTAAACAG